AGTACTTCCATACATTGCAGGGTGCTGGGGACCCCAGAACCGTCTCCGGGAGGCCGGGGGGTGGAGCCGGGCCCTGAGGCCTCAGAGAACACAAGCAGCTGGGGGTGGGCGGGATTGGGCGTTGGCCCAATCCCGGAACTGAAGACGAGTTCCGGCCACTACTCGCAGGGTAAGTGGCTCCCGGGGTGAAATGATGACCTGGTGCTGGGGCTGCTTTCCCCTCTCTCCTGCGGATCCTGCAGGTGGGGCCGGGACTGGGCGGTGGTGCTTCAGCCGGGCCCAGGGCTGGCACAGCGGCCCTCCCGCACACCTGGCGGCGGGTTGACTACGTTATTTTGGGGTCATCAGGGCCATTCCCTGCCTCCAGACAAGGCCTGAGCTGGAATGCATACCAACCCTTGAAGCACTGACAAGTCCTAGATGCCACTTCCCTGCTGGGGATTGTTAGTGCACGTGGCCCCCTTGGCTTCTGGTCCCACAGGTGAGTGTAGGGGCCCCCACTTGTCTAGAGCCGGGCATTTTCTAATGTCATAAAACAAAATACAGAGTTTATATCTTGACATAGGGTACAGGCACATGCAGACACATATTAAAACAAGTTTTACACGATATTACCCTCACTGTGATTGATACCCTTTAACAGTTTGTGTTAATTCACTTTTTTAAGATGTTGGTCCAGATCCACTGAGTTGATTTTATGACCTACTAATGGGTTAAACCCGCAGCTGGAAAAGCACCGGAGAAAAAGAAGCAGAAGGGGAATGGTAGGGATATGGGAAAGAAAAAACAGATAAAGAAGAGGACAGGGAGGAGAAAGGGGTTTTATGGGAGGTGGTGAAAGTCACGCAGATCCCTGCCATGATGTCCCTTTGAGGCCATCTGCTCTAACACACTGCCTCCCACTCTGTGTGCCCTCAGTGCTTCCATTGGACCCTGGGCTGCATGGTGGCAGAGACAAAATCTCTGCACTTCTGGAACTTCTACAGCTGCTAGTCGAGGAATTCTTAGAATCAGACAAAACCTTAGAGAACATTTCTTAGTCAAAGCTTCTCGTTTTCCAGGGGAGGAAACTGACTTGAAAGGGCCAGCCAGCCAGCCAGTGATTATTCATCGCAGTCAGGCCCTCGGCACAGTCACGATTTGTTCATGACAGGTCACAGGCATCACTTTTTCACCTAAAAATGAAGATAACAATATCAATTTTAGAGGTTTAGTATTATGTACATCCATCAAGAATGGTGCCTGGCCCCATCTGTTTATTTATTTATTTTTTGCTTTTGTTTCCTTTGGATCAAAAAAAAAATTGCTGTGATTTATGTCAAAAAGTATTCTGCCTGTGCTTTCCTCTAGGAGTTTTTTTTTTTTTTTCCTCTAGGAGTTTTATAGTATCCGGTCTTACATTTAGGTCTTTAATCCATTTTGAGGTTATTTTTGTATATGGTGCTAGTGACTGTCCTAATTTCATTCTTTTACATGTAGCTGTCCAGTTTTCCCAGCACCACTTATTGAAGAGACTGTCTTTTCTCTGTTGTCTGTTCTTGCCTCCTTTGTCATAAGTTAATTGACCATAAGTACATGGGTTTATTTCTGGGCTCTCTATTCTATCCCATTGATCTATGTGTCTGTTTTAGTGCCAGAACCATATTATTTCGATTACTTTGTAGTATAGTCTGAAGCCAAGGAGCATGATTCCTCCAGCTCCGTTCTTCTTTCTCAAGGTTGTTTTGGCTATTGGAGGTCTTCTGATCCATACAAATTTTAAAATGATTTGTTCTAGTTCTGTGAAAAATGTTATTGGTATTTTGATAGGCATTGCATGCACTGAATCTGTAGATTGCCTTGGGTAGTATGGTCATTTTAAGAATATTAATTCTTCCAGTCCAAGAATACAGTGTATCTTTCCATCTGTTTGTGTCATCTTTAATTTTTCATTAGTGCCTTGTGGTTTTCCGAGTACAGGTCTTTTACCTTCTTAGCCCTCCAGCTGCAGGATATGTGTATCATTTCATATGCTGCCAAATAGACCCTTTAGCTTTCACATTTGGTCTGGAATTGGCAATCAGTCTTTCACTGGCTTTCATTATTTAATTAATGAGGCCCCCCCAATGGCCATCCAACTCCAAAGTTCTTATAATTACTGTTTCCTAAACATCTGGGATATTGCATCTGTTGGGACGTTCCCTTCCACTGGCATCCCATTCCTGTTTGCCACTGGTGAAAGTTTTACCAATTGCCACACATTCCAGGGGCTGTCCGTGCTCCACTACCACCAGAGATGGGATGCTCATTACCAGAAGGCTGGTAGATGATCCAACTTCAAAATTTCATCTTTGAGTCTTTTTCTAAGACCACGTCTTGTAAGAATCCTATGGGCTGAATTCTTTAGGAAACAGATTCTGAGATTTTGAAGTTTGCATACAGGTTTTTAATTAGTTGGTAATTCTTGGGACCAAAAGCTGAGAGGGGTCAGAGAAGCAGGACTGGTCAGAGGTTGTACTGTGATGCAAGTGCTCAGAGATCGCTCAGAGATCTGGGGCTGGGACAATCCATGAATTGTGCCACATAAGGCAAAGGGGCTAAGACTTTATACCTCTCCTAGTCTGGTCCTTGGAGGTGGGCTGCCTCAAGGAAGGACTGAGACTTTGGGCAAAGTGGCTCTGTTTGGCTGAGGACAATTGCTAGAGAGAACTAAGCTGAGAGCTGTCACCTAGGGAAGTGAGTGTCTCAGTCCTAAAAGGTGGCACACCAGAACATCCGCTGCACCTGCATTTCCTGATTTTAAAATTGACAGTCACCCACTGTCTAACTCTTCACACTCCTGACGGCAGTCTTCTTTTATTTACCATCCAAGTCTTTTCCTTTTCTAGTGGACCCATACATCATAATCCAGGTACAGTTCTGTTTTGGCAACACACTAAGTAAAGTTGTACTCAACTTTTGAAAGCCCTTTTATAATAGTGAAAAAACTTCACAAATCTCCACATAATAGTAACTGAATGAATATCCGTTAAAAAACACTAAAGATAAATTTATTAACTGGTTTTATCACATGTGCACCCATGTATAATACAAAAAAAAACAACTATGTATTTAGATAATGACATTTCTTGTTCTGGTGACAGAGATAGTTCTTTAGGCACAGAAAAACTCACAAAATACCTGGGTTAGAATGCTACCTGTTAGTTATGTTCAAGAATAGAATGGCCAGCTGAGGGGGCAAGTGGAGACTGAAATACAGGCCAGGCTCTTCTAATCACCAATTCTTTCACTCCATCAAAAGGCTGAATATACTGGAGGAACATGGGACATTTTCTAAACCAATTGCCCAAACAGTCTACCACTCAGGTCTTTTTTTCTACTTAGGATAAAGGCACCTCCATGCCAGCCTTGCACCTGGCCAGTGACTAATTACAAGCTTTAACTCCAGAGTCAGTCCCAGATGTGGATTCTGGCTTTGTTGCTTATTTGCCATTAACCTTCTCCATCTAAGGCTGAGTCTCCTTTGTAAAATGTGATTATATCTCCCTCTGTGTGGTTCAGGTGTTTAGGCAGCAAATGAATACCACCTACCTTCACAGATCTTTGGTTTATAAACTGCATTGAGATATAGTTTACATACAATAAAATGTACAAACAGTAAATGAACATTTTGATGAGTTATGACAATGTAAACCAGTAACCAGATAGGTAACCTGTGTGCTTTTTATCCTATTCAGAGATTGTACTAGGCCTTGCCTGTGGGAGTTACAAGATAGCATGAAGCATCCTTAGTTGATTTGGTTAACCCCTTGATTAGGTTAGGCCTGGAACGTATGTACTCAGAGCCCCCAACATCCTCTGCATAACACACATCTATCGCACTGCCTGTCACCCTCCTAGGCTGTAAAGCTACCTGAGGGCAAAGACCTTCCACTTGTTCCCTGCTGTATCCCCAGCATCTCACAGTGTATGGGCATTCCATAAGCATTTGTTGAAAGGCAGATGAATAAACTTACAAAGTTAACAAAGTATCATGTCGAGTTTGTGCCAAATAAAACTTGGTTATTCACTTGGAGAAGACCCAGATCAACCTTGTGGGTTACGGTAATTAGTAAAGGCCTGCGGTTAAGGTAACATTTCAAAAGGGTCCGATTTCAAAAACATTTAGGAAAAATCCAGAGCTTAGACAAATGCGTAAAGTTAAAAAGGGTGGCCTCGAACACTTGCCTAGAGCACTGCGTGCACCCTGGTAACAGTAAACATTATCAATCATTTAACTTTAATTGAGCGTCTGCGCCACCAGATTTCTGGTCAGGGCTCTGGGATGAGCTGACCATAGCTGCACGGCAAGATCCTCCCTCTTACTGACGGGCAGACACAAATAGATGTATAAGCGATATGCACCCAAAAGGGCAAAGAAAGGCATCTTCAGAGATCGCTGCCCTTGAAGCGCACCCGGTTTACTCCGCGACAACGAATGGGAACGGAGAGGACAGGGATCTTCAGCGCGCCCTCTTCTGGCGAAGGACAAACGCCTCCCCCGTCATTTGGGGGGTGAAGCAGGTTGCAAGCCAAATTGTGTCACCGCAAAAATGCCGGTGACCCCCCACCACCATGGCTGCCAATGAATTAACAGTACGGTACAGGTTCTACAGACTCGTACCTACAAAGAGAGAGGACCTCCGGGATCCGAGGCCCTTACGAACCCTCCCCCTCCCGAGTGAGCACCCGTCTAGCCCTTCCCGCTCCGGTCTGCTGAACACGCCGATCTGCGGCCCCAGCGTCTCTTCGGGGACGGCCGCGCTCAAGTTCCCTGGCCCTGCAGCGTCCGGTCGGAAGGATGTGCGGGGACAGAGTGGTTTTATTTACACCTCCGCAGTGATTTCTATCCAGTGTCTACATCCCTAAAAGGCTGTATCTCGTTTGCTTAAATACCACGGAATAGGAAGACCCGGCTCCTTTAAGGCGGGGCGCTCGGGGCACCGGAAATGACGTGGACGTACTGCGTATTCCCGCCCTCCCCTGCGCCCGCCGTTCCGTGGCGGGAAAGCGGGGCCTGTACTGACGGGGGAGAGTCTTAAGTGTCCTCGGTCGGCAACTCGGGGCCTGATATTCTCAGCTTGAGGGACCGACCTGAAACTTCAAGACCACCTCGCCCTTCCCCTGTCCCGGAAACCCCAGGAACGAGCCGGCGGCGTCTTCGTTCCGGAGACGAGTGACTGAAAGGCCCAGGCAGTGCCCCGGGAACACGCACCGGGAGCCGGGGAGAACAGGTGACCGGCCGGAAAAATTGCGGGGGTTGCCTTCGCCTTCTCTTCTTCCTGTGATATCGTCCACTGCCGTCGAAGCGCACACAGGGGCTGGACCAGCGCTCCGGTCTCGCCGCCTTCTACGCATTGCGCACCCCTTCGTGTAACGGTGGCTCAGCGCAGCATCTCTCAGAGACCTGCTTTGGGCGGTGTTACTTTCTGGCAGCCTCTGGCGGGGATGGAGTAATCCAATAACGTTAAAAACCTTATTATCATTATTGTTTTTAATAAGTTTGCACTAAACCTTTAGTGTTTACAGATACTAACAACTTATTTGATTTATTGATTATATACGCATATGCCAACCACAGAACTGTTGTTTACACAATTCTTTTATTTAACTCAGTTGCCTTACGAATAGGCCTTAGCTTATTTTACAGAAGGGGAAACTGAGTCTCATACATGGTAATGCAGTCACCAACTCTTAACGGCGCGTCTATCATGTACCAGTCACTGCTCTAGGCACTGGGAATACAGCAGTGACAGTAATTGCCGCTAATGCTGGGAATTTTCAGACAAGCTCTCCCCTAAAACAGCCTTTTGCTGCCTGGAAGAATGTTCGCCTGAATGTTAGTCCTTATCTTCTGGGTGAGATTTTGTGTGAAGTTTTAAAACTCGCTTTTCTGCATTGTTTTGATTTCTTCAAATGAACGTGCTATCAGAAAAAAAAATCTGTTTCCAATTTAACGGGAGTTCCCTCCCCTCCCCTCCCCGTCAAAAGAGCTTCTGAAGGCAGTCATGGGCTCCGCCAATAAAATAGATCCTTGAGTGGAGCTCTAGGCCCAAGAGAAGTGGATGTTCTCATTAGTGGTCCCAGTACTCCTAATTGCTGAATCCATTCCAGGATCTGAGCTAGAGTGAGGCCCATGACTAAACTGGAAGAGACTATCAAGACCCATGTACACTTTGGCCATTAATGCTATCATATTTATCAAAAAGTTTGGAACTCAAAAATTTTTCTGATGTAAGGTTTATCTTTGTTCTATAACTCCCTCACTATAAATAGATTTTAAATTCCTTCAGCACTTTGGCCTCTTTTATGTCCTTCTAGCCTTCAGTACAATGCACGCAGAGGTTGCCAGGTCATGGGGTGATGTCCTTTATTTAGTAAATATTTATTGAGTATCTTTGCACAAGGTTAAGTGTGCTTTCAGGCTTTACTTCCTCATAATGGTTTCAAAAGAACTTTTCCTTTTCTGTCTTGCACCTGGTCAGGGTGAAGTAACCATGCAGGCATTTCTAAAAGGCACATGTATCAGCACTAAACCACCATTGACCAAGGATCGAGGAGTAGCTGCCACTGCCAGAAGTAGTGGAGAGAACAAGAAAGCCAAACCTGTTCCATGGGTGGAAAAATAGTAAGAATGCTTTGGTTTTGTTGAAATAGTTAATAAATTACCTCTCTGACAGGTTTTGATCACTTTTTTTTAAACTTAAGGAGGGGATGATTTACTCATTTAGATGTTGTCCTTGAAAATCACCCAGTTATATAAATCATGGAACCTTGGAACTGAAATGTACCTTAGAATAATCTAGTTGAATTCTCTTATAGATGAACTACAGCCTTCTCTGTAACTCAGGAGTGCAGTTTTAGGGGCTGGGATACAGCAGTAAAGAGAACAAAATTTCTATAAAATGACTATAAGCTCTTGGTCAGGAGTTCTACTTAAGTTCAAATCTATTCTTTTCATTACTCATAGCTGTAAATTGTTGAGTTTTTGCTTGTTTATACATTTTTGGCAAAAACAACATCTTATGTGGCACTGAAATTTCAGCTAAGTGAAATAATAAGCAGTTGTAACTGTTGGTGTATCCTGAGTTGTTGCCAAAGTATTGCAGATTACTTCTAAGCCGTATAAGGCCCTCACAAATGTTTGGCGCAGACAGTACTTTTGTAAGTGGGAAATTTCACAAAAATCTAAACTCCTTCAATTAAAGAAATTATACAAGGAGAAAATTTAGATTTTCAGCCTCTCAGGAAATTAGACAGCACTAGATGCAGTTTCTCGCCTGACTACGCTTAGATGGACTTGAGTACTGCTTCCCATATTGGAAAGGTCATATGTTCTTCACCACAGTCCTACTAATGTCTCTTGCCTTACACTCTGCATTCTTCGCTCTTTTTATCTGCCTAGCCCTTGCAAGTATTTGAATATGAAACCCTGATTTATAATCTACACTGGTTTTCCTAGCTAACATTGTCTGACATAAGATCCCTGCCTGGCATTGTCCTGATTAATTAGAAAAGTATAAATCAAAGCAAAGCTTTTGATTAGTTAGCTAAGCACAGAGCTTTATCTTAGGGTTGGGAGTACAACTTAGTTTAGCATTATTTGTTAATGATGTAAGACAAAAATTATTATACTCCCTATTGGTTAAACCTGTTATTTTGTTAACCCTCCATGAACTGAACAGATGTGCATTTTTTTGTCCAGTTAGGTGATAGAGGAAATTGGTATTAACCAATTAACAACATGGTAACATATGTAACTATATTAATCAAAATTGTTACCTATCCTGAGGTTACTAAATAGGTCTCCCTTTTTAGCTTAAGTACATACTGTCAAATTCTAGGCAAGTGTTCACTTTACATTTTTAACCAGTTGGCATTTGTGATGTTACAAAATAAAATCCTTTTGCATAATTTTTGTAAGTATCATAGATGCAAACAGTGCATCTGAAAGAGTGAAAAATTAATTCCTTCAGTATATATTTGCCTAAAGTAAATACAAATGGGGTTTCTACCTGCTTCCAATTATGAAAGTTTCTTATTTCATTACTGATGTAAGAGAATTGTCTTTGGTGTTTTAGTGAAGAGAAAGACTTCTGTGGCTACTAGAGTACACAAAAACTTTTCTCTCCCCACCCCCCAGTCGCCCGAAATGTGTGGATGAAGTTGCTTTCCAGGAAGAAGTGGTTGCAGTGCTGAAAAAGTCTTTAGAAGGAGCTGATGTGAGTAGCAGATTTAAAACTTAATTTATTCACCCTCTTTTTTTTATAGCCTCCTGCCTCCTTTAAATACAATTCTGTATGTATAGTAAGCCCTTGATAACTTTATACAGTGGAGGATTAGTTCAACAAATATTTGCTGAGCATCTCTTCTGTCCTATGGCATTGTTATAGAGTACTCAAGTGAAGCCCATTGAGCAAGACAGGCTGGATCTCTTTGCTCATTAGCTTTTATTTCAGTGGGGAGAGACAGAATAAATATGTAAGCAAAATAAATAAGAGAATTATAGATGATGATAGGTACTATGAGGAAGAGTCAAAGATTCTTTGAAAGTATAATTGCTCACCCAATTTTAGGATTTGGTTTGAACTACAATACAAAAAAAAAAAATTGAGCATTTAATTCTGCTTATAGCGTTATGTCTCCTGCTGTGATACGTAGGATAAAATGTCCTTGAGTGACTTACATTTTAGATTAATTCAAAGATAAGATAAACCCGTATGAAGAATTAGAAATTTAAAATTGTATGTGATCAAGTGCCTTAGGAGCTTAGTGGAGGAATGGAAACAGTTGCAGATGAAAGTGGGAAGTGGGTTTTTGCTTTATTCCCAAGATTTTCTTCCCTCAACCTGGCTGCTTTGAATTAGAGGTTCTTTGGTTTTTGTTGCCATTGTTCTCTTCCTGAGGTTACACAGTAACAGTGTATATTTTGAAAGAAGTTATATTTATAAAACTTATAAAACTATTGAAAATCTTTTTCTTTACCAGTATCTGTTTTGATTTGATCCAGATACCTTTTAGTTTTATATTAGTATACAATTTAAATTGCATAGTAATATTTACAAAGATTGCAGGACATGATGTGTTTTAAAAGGTGAAAGATTTAGATAATCTGAAGAGAAACCAGAGTATGACAATGTATTTTAATTGCTAGTATTCTCAACTCTTTAGGCAAATGTAGTGGGATTATGATCCACTTATTGAGTTTATACCATCTAATTTATGAGGCTGAATTAAGAACTTTCTTCTTTAACCAATTGTTTAATAATTTGTGTTTCTTTTCAGACTTAAGTTTTTTAAAACTTGAAGTAAATTTAACTCTAAAGAGTAAAGGAAAATAATTCATTCCTTGATTTACTTTAAAAGTTTTGAAGTAGAATTATAATGAGACATGTTTTCAGAAATCAGTTTTTAGGACTAATATTCCACATACAGTTCTTGAATGCACCATATATATTATTTAATAATTTTACCGTGTTTTAAAGTATTTAAGTTATTGTATGTAGTAATTACATGGATGAATCATTACAACTACTGAGGTATGCATGGATCAAAATAATGGTTTTAAAAATGAAGTGTTTTTGTTTTTAAATGGTGAATCTCATAGTTTGTATCTTAAGCTGTATGTTACCAGTGTAACAGTAATATATTTATATGTTAGTTTATTTATTTGACATATGCTGAGTACCACAGGAGATGCTGAGACTATAGATGTGAATAGAACAAATAAGGTTCTTGACCTTCTTAAGCTTACCCTTTAGTGAGGTAGATAGGTATTTTACAATTAAACCCAATCACTAAATAAATAATGATAAATAATTGTAAATTACATCAAGTCCAACAAAGACTGACGGGAGAATGACAGCAGAGATCCTCTTTAGATTGGGATCACAGAGGGCTTCCGACTTGTAATGCGGTAGAAGTTGCCAAACAGAAAAAAGGAGTCAGACCTCAGCTCATGGGAGACAGCATGTGTACAGGCCAGAAAGTGCTTAGCTGTTGGAGACCATTGTAAGTTGTAACTTAGAAGGTGAGAGAGGTGGCGAGCAGATCATGGACATCCTTATAGGTTATGGTAAGCTGGTTGATTTTTTTATTTGTCTGTTTTTGTTTTTCTAAGTAGAATATGAAGCTAGTGAATAGTTTTAAGTAGCAAGCAGAATGGCATCTGATTTCGTTGAAAATTAATGGATGGGAAGGGGGAGGATTAGACAAGAGTGGAAGCAAATAAACTGTATTGCTTAGTTTTCTATGTACTGAGATTTCCATACGTGAAAGGACATACTGGAGAGTTTAATGTATTTGTTAATCGGTAGCACAGAGCAGTTGCCTGTTTGATAGGAGCCAAGCCACTTTAAAAGAAGGTAACTAGTTATTTAATCTTACCCTTTCTTCCACTGATGAAATCTTGCTGATACAGGCAGGCATCCTTACAGGGTACATAATCATGATGTGGAGCTCTGCCAGGCACTTAATAGATGCATGGGTTTGGGGTTTTTTGTTTTGTTTTGTTTTGTTTTTGTTGTTTTTTAATGTTTCTGTCCTTGGAACTTCAGCCTACGCAAAGCCCTAATAGGCCTTTTTCAATTCTTTGTCCTCAGTATTGGCCAAATCCAATTGCTCCTTTGGTCTGTGTCCCCTTTGAAGCAGCTGACATCTTTACAAAGTATAAAATCTTGCACAGTCCTGAACGAAGGTGTGGGATAGGGAACTGACAGAAGCCTGGGATTCTCTTCAGAAATAAGAGGTTTTTAATTCCAGCTTTGAAAACCCCACCGAAGTATTAGATGAGGTATAGAACAATCATAAATATAAATTCAGTTTAAGATACTAATTAGAAAGACATTTTGGGGGAAAGTAATAGTATTATGTGAAAGAGCAGGATTTAGTGCTGTTATTACTATGATACCAGTTATATTAAGAAATCTTTGTATTCAGATGTATATGCCCCCTCTATTAGGGAAGTCATTGCAGTCTTCCATAGACATTTTTGGTCATCATTTTCACTTGTTTGTGTCAGAATACAATTTTAAAGAAATAAAATTTAACTTCTACAGCTCCCTAATCTCTTGTTTTATGGGCCTCCTGGAACTGGAAAAACATCCACTATTTTGGCAGCAGCTAGAGAACTCTTTGGGTAAGTTGAAATCTCTCCCTTTCTCCCTCTTTTTAAAGACCTGACACTGAAAATTTCTGGTACTGCTTTTCTTTCTCTAAAACTTTGCATTTGGTTTCTCCATGAGGTTGTTGAGTTTACTTTTACTTCTGAATTTTTAAATAATCTAGTAACCTATTTCCAGTTTCTCCCCTCCAGTAAATTAGCTTGCCTGTATCTTTTGAACATTTATTCTGAACCTTGTTCAAATGTTTGAATGTACCACAACGCAAGGAGCCTTGTCATTTTTTTCATCACTTTTACTCTTTCATTATGATTTTGGAACCCAGAGGAGCCAATCTATCTCCTGTCACACTGATAGTTTTATCACTTTCCTAATGATCATGTTCACATCTGGGTCATAGAATTTCCTGCATTTGATGCTACTGATGTGCGCCACCCCTTCTTGAGTTCTTCTTACTCTGGACTACCCAGGGCCTGCCTGGAGTGGCTGGGCCAGCTCCTTGCCCTCAAGCATCCTGAGTATAAGCAAAGTGTGTGGTAGTTGATGTAGTATGATTCCAGGTACAGCAGAAAATCTCTGTGAGCCACCTCTTAGAGCCCTCCTCTAGATTGACTATCTCGGCTTTATGTCAGCCCATGTCTGATATCCATGCAACATATACCAACATAACAAAGGCTATCTTTAATTTAGCCAGAATTTTTATATCAGGCATATGGCCTAGGGGTACATCTGAAATCCTATACATGAAAATAATTAGATGCCTCTGAAACCACCAAATATGTAAGGATAATTATTTCTGTTGAAATGTGAAGGAAGACAAAAGGGGAAGCTGCTCTGAACCTAGTATTTTATTTATTATTAATTTGACAGCAACTTTTGTTTCTCAAGGAAATCTTAAAAGAGCTTTTTTGATTATTCCGCAACTTGATCAGTTAGATTTGGTCTGAACTAGCTTTAGCAATGTAGTCATAGTGAAACTGTTAAGTATAGTTATTCTAGAAGAGGTCAGTCTAAATTGTATAATTTGTAAAATATTCTTTTTAAAATGTTTGTCTTTATAGAACTAAAAGAACTTATTTTAATTATAAATTAAATAGTATATGTGGTTTTAAAATACCAAATACATGTCCAGAGATTTCTAAATGTTTATGCGCATAGAAAAATGCTTAGGATGTCATGCTGTTTAGGAAAAATAAAGACTAAATCCCAACTTTTGATTTTTGTCTATTTAAAAAAAAATGTATGTAGAAAAATAACTGGAAGGAAGTTTTTGAAACAGTGGCAGGGTAAACCAGTTGTTTTTATTTTCTTTTATGTTCTCAGATTTTCCCACAGAGCTACTTTTAATCTTCTTTTATTTTAAACTAACTTAAAAAACTGTCCATGTTTTAGTCCAGTAATTTTCCTAAAAGCAAGCTACTTTATGAAAATAATTCAAAATATGCTGTGTTGCAGCATTATTTAAAATTGCAGCATATTTAAAACTACCTAAATATCTTAACAATAGAAGGATGCTAAATAAATTAAGCAAATGACGGTATAGTCATAGATTGGAAAGTCATATGGCCATTATTTACAGTGGTTATCATGACATGGCAAGATGTTTGATACAATCCAAACTGGAAAATTGATTTAAATTTTAACACATTATGTGATATCATCTTTTTTTTTTAATGCATGGGAAAAAGAAGTTAACTGTATGCATTTGCAAAAGAGAAAATACAGAAATAATTATGTGCCTTTTATCCATATTGTTTACTAGGTGTATTTTAAACTACTGAAATATGTACAAATGTTAAAATATGGTTTAAACTTGGGTTACATACATGCTGTATGATGTTTCACATTTGTTTCATTTTCACATAGGCCTGAACTTTTTCGATTGAGAGTTCTTGAGTTAAATGCATCTGATGAACGTGGAATACAAGTAGTTAGAGAGAAAGTGAAGAATTTTGCCCAATTAACTGTGTCAGGAAGTCGTTCAGAGTAAGTAAGCTCATCTTCCCTTCTCCATATCATGTCATTGTATTTGTTTAAAATACATGTTTCTGCCAAATTTCTAACTCCTTTTTTATGTAAGATCATATTTTCTTCTAAACTGTATAAACCTAGAATAACCTAGAAAAACCTAGAAATGACCTTTCCATTATAATAACTAATTTTAGGTTGTTTAGCTGTCAAAGTTTTTAATCAATATTTTGTCTAAGGAGTATTTATTAATCAAATGTGATGGTTTGTGGTACATTCATAATAAAAATCCTGATTTTTGCCATTGTGTTATTAAAAGAAGATCTGTCATATACCTTAAGATACAGTGTATATTTCATAATTAGGGTGACTATATATGTCCTTGTCCAAACTGGGATACTTTTAGAATGAAAGAGAAGGTATTATTAATAATTAAAATAGGACATCCTGAGTTCAACAGGGATGTTTAGTCAACTGCTTACACTCCTTAGGTGGCAAAGTTCCAAGATTAAATTTTTGGTACCTGGCATATATTTAAATTTTTATCAGAGCACACTTAAGAATTTGTAGAAAGTGAATGATTCAATTTTTGATATCTACCTTGGACTGACAGTATATATAAATCATATACAGTAAGGGATTTAGATGAAGAACAAATAACTCTTACAACTCAATAATAAAAAGACAACCCAATTTATAAATGGGCAAAGGATCTGAATAGACATTACCCAAGGAAGATATACAAATGACCAATAAGCACATCGAAACGTGCTCATCAACATCATGAGAATAGACATGACAATAGAGAAATGCAAATCGAAATCATGATAAGATACAACTTAAACCCACTAGGATGGCTACAATCAAAAAGACAAAATAACAAGTATTAGCAAGGATGTGGAGAAATTAGAACCCTTGTACATCGCTAGTTGGAATGTAAAATGGTGCAGCCACTTTGAAAACAGTTTGGCATTCCTCTAAAAGTTAAACATAACTACCATATGACCCAGCGGTTCCAGTCCTAGAATATATACCAACAGGAAATGAAAACACATATACATGTGTACAAATGTTCATTGTAGCATTATTCATAATAGTCAGAACACGGAAACAACCCAATAAACATCAACTGAGGAATAGACAAATAAAAGGTAGTATATGCCATACTATTTGTCAGTAAAAAGGAATAATAAACTACAGTGTGGATGAACCTTGAAAACCATTATGTTAAGTGAAAGAAACCAATCAAAAAAGACATGTTGACAACATATGATTTCATTCATATGAAGTATCCAGAAGAGGCAAATCTGTGGAAATAGACAGTAGAGGTTCCTGATTGCCTATGATTGGGAACGTTGGGAGAGGAGAGAAATGGCTCCTCATGGGCACAGGGTTTCCTTTTGGGGTGATGGGAATGTTTTAAAATTGGGTTGTGGTGATATGTGAATTATAACTCCTGTGTGTGTCTCTAAATCAGCGGGAAGCCATGTCCTCCTTTTAAGATTGTTATTCTGGATGAAGCAGATTCTATGACCTCTGCTGCTCAGGCAGCTTTAAGACGTACCATGGAGAAAGAGTCTAAAACCACCCGATTCTGTCTCATCTGTAACTATGTCAGTCGGTATGTATGTTGCCCTAAAAATAGATGCTAGGCAGCCTTATTTTGATAGCCCCAAATAGGGAGAGAAAAAACTTTGAATGTTTTAAGCCTCCATTAGTTTTTCCTCCATCAAATCTTAATTTGTTTTTGATAAAAATGAGTTATTTGGGGGAGATTCTTCTTCAGACATTGACTTGTTTTTTCCAATGTTTTACAGAATAATTGAACCGCTGACCTCTAGATGTTCTAAATTCCGCTTCAAACCTCTGTCAGATAAAATTCAACAGCAGCGACTACTAGACATCGCTGATAAAGAACATGTCAAAATTAGCAATGAGGTAATTACTAGTTGTTTAACCATTATTGTAATTTCTAATTCCTTTGATGAATGCCTGTGAAGAAGCCTTGAAAGATTCAGATGTGTATTGCTTCAATTTCTGATGCCAATTCTTCAGGCAAAGTTAAGGTAAATGAGCAATAGTTGGAATGTCAAGAATTGCAGGTTCAGCCTTCCTTTCTGTTGTTATTAGAAGTTTATTTTCTGTCTGTATTTCAGGATCCCAAAGCTAGGGTAGATTTAGTACATTTAATGCAAATTCTGCAACAACAAATCTCTGCATAATGACAAGATACTCCACTTGTCATTATTAACTAATACTCTTAAGAACTAATTTGGTAAGATGAAATTCTGGTACACTGATAGAATATATAGGCCCCTTAGTCACTAACAGAATTTAACCATAATTTTCATTTTTTTTTTGCTATATGTAATCAAGAAAATAGGATGAAAAGTATGGAATTTCTCTTTTCTCTGCAAATTTCTTTCAGAGGCCAAGAGCTCTCTATCCTTCTTTGGGTGATGCTGTCTCCATGAATTCTGTCACTACAGAACTGATAATCTTCTCAAAAATGGAAATAGATTTTATGTTTTTCCCCCACTAACTCTTTGCTAAAAACAGAGTTTTTTACTTTTTTTTTTTTTTATTAAAGTCAGCCTTAATTGGCCAAAATAGGTTAAAAAACAACTTTTTTCTCTTCAGGGAATAGCTTACCTTGTTAAAGTGTCAGAAGGAGACTTAAGAAAAGCTATTACATTTCTTCAGAGTGCTACTCGATTAACAGGTGGAAAGGAAGTCACAGAAAAGGTGATCACAGATATTGCTGGGGTAAGAGCACTGCATGTTCTGTAATTTTTAGTTGGCTTGTGACTTTTACAAAATTTTATTTCAGCATATACATATATATATACACACACACAGAATGCTTATTATGTGCTGTCTTAAGTCTGTTCAGGCTGTTGTAACAAAATGCCATAGTCTGAGTGACTTAAAAACAAAAATACCACAGTTCTAGAGGCTGGAAGTCCAAGATAAGGGTGTCCACATATTGTCTGTTGAGGATACACTTCCTAGTTCAGTAAACTCCGTTCATCCATGGCTTTCACCTCCCTGCATCCTCCTGTGGCAAAAGGGAGCTCTCTGACCCTTTTATATAAAGGGCACTAGTCCTATTCACAAGGGTTCCACTCTCATGACCTGTAATCACCTCCTGAAGGCTCACCTCCAAAATACCATTACATTAGTGATTTTTAACATGAATTTTGGGAATTCATGTATTGGAATATAAACACTTAGTCTATATAGCATGTGCCAAATACTATGCTAGGGACAGTGTAATAAGGGAATAACCCGAGAGTATTATGCTTCAGGCAGGGATGGGAGTTAAAATCACTAAAGGGATTCTCTTGTACCATGCCCTTGGTCTGGATGCTCCCCTCAGGGTCACTGCTGCTTCCAATCAGTATCTTGTTAGTGGCATCTTGGTGAAAGGGAACTTCTCACCCACTGACTAGCGGGCTCAAATTTGAGAATGTTTAACACGTTGATCACAGCTGTCACCCAGTGACAGTTGTTCTCAAGGAGAGCTTATTTCAGGTCCAAGTTTGTAAATCACCTTTTTGGATCCCAAATAAGAGCGTTAACACTTAAAAAGCTGACCCTTTTCCAGTTCCTTGCCTTCCCAACTCTGCATGGATTCAGCATCAGCTAACAGTTCCATGTTACAGGCCACGTGCCACTTCATTGAGCATGGAACAGAAGAGAGTGAGTGGGCACAAGCTTGGTTGGCAGAAACTGTTATCTTTCAGGTAATACCAGCAAAGACAATTGATGGAGTATTTGCTGCATGTCAGAGTGGCTCTTTTGACAAACTAGAAGCTGTAGTAAAGGTAAAGTGACTTTACCCATTTGGGGGAAGGGAAAATTAAAACACATCATACCAAAATTAAGTTTTTGTTGTTACAGGACTTGATAGATGAGGGTCATGCAGCAACTCAGCTTGTAAATCAACTTCATGATGTGGTTGTAGAAAATGATCACCTTTCTGATAAGCAGAAGTCTATTATTACGGAGAAGCTTGCTGTAAGTAGCTTTTTCTGCATTTCAACAAGATCAACATACCTGAAAGGAAGTTTTATTTACTAACCTTTCATTTTATTATAGGAAGTAGACAAATGTTTAGCAGACGGTGCTGATGAGTATCTGCAACTGATCAGTCTTTCTGCTACCGTGATGCAGCAATTAACTCAGAATTGTTAAACCATGTGTTTTGTAAAATGATTTTTAATAAAATGACCAAAGCACCTTTAAAGTGAATATACAATTTATTTAACATTCAAACTTCATTAAGACATGTGCAATATGGCAATTTTACTGGGGTTTAACCCTACCTAGGATGATTGCTTGCTGGGGCTTTAGCAACAGGGTCCAGTTCACACTTAGCACTAATTAAATACTTTATTGAATAAATACAATACCAAACAAAATGCATTCAAATGCTTTCTAAAAAAAATCAATTTTAAAGGCCTTTCTATTCAGGCTAATGACAAACACAATAAAGGCAGATATGCTAGTTTAACATAATTGGCTGATTTTATACAGCACTTATATCTTTTAGTCCACAAGTATATTATTAAATGATAGAGAACATCTAATACAACCATTTCTACAGAACTAGGAAATAAATTTCTAAGAAAGAAAGATTTTACAGACCCCATCTTTTATACCCAACCCCAACAGTCTAACTCTAAAGAGGATAAAGCCAATGACTTTCCTCACAAGAGCTCACGACTAATGTCGCTTTGCTATCAAAAATCTGTATTTCTGATCCGTTATGAGCATTGAGACAAGATTCAAATATTCCCAAAGAAAGAAGCACAATGCACGTTGTGATCGCCTATTCAGCAACAGCGAGCACTGCATTCAAAACTATCTCATCCCAGGAATTAAATAAGGTCTGCCACATTCATTGGCATTTCCTCCACTGTAGTATTGTAGAAAGTCTCAATGTCACGAAGAATCCTCTTGTCTTCTTCAGTAACAAAGTTTATAGCCACACCTTTCCTCCCAAATCGACCCCCTCTGCCAATTCTGCGTAAGAAAAAGAAACCAACAATTAGACTATATTATTTCTCACATGCTGCATGAACTAATGAACATGATGATCCACTTGTTAACCATCAGCTGCTGTTTACTTATCAAGGTTATAATTCGTGCGTGCTTCTAATTGGAGCACTAGCTGCTAATCAATATCTAGAGAAAAAAATCTTCCTTTCCAGTTAGTGCCAAAAGGATTCAATCAAGGCTTGTCTGGCTGCAAAATGAGATTTTATCAGGTGTCTTGAGCATTATTTTTTTTTTAAAGTAGATGACAGTACTGTTTGGGGTAGCGAATTTAAAGCCCATACCAAAGTGGGCCAGCCAAGAGCAGATGTCAGCCTGGGACAGATGTAAAACACCAGGGATAAAACAAAAAGAAGTTATATAATCCATTTCGACGCATTTCTGGAACTGTAAACACAAATGGTGCAAGGTTAACTATTGTCTAAAAATTACAACTTTTTTCAGTGGGAAAACAAGTATTTGGTATGGTGACCTGATCACTGCCTTTTTTGCTCAGTTTCACACGTTATAACTCAAGTTACTCAAACGTGTTTACCTCCAAAACAGCTTTCTAACCTTCCTGACAAACCAGACAATACAAACCACCTAGTAATAAGCTAATATACAGAATGCCTTGGCTGGAGCATCTTAAAATATCAAATAATCATGACAAAAGAAAAACAAATATAAATACCGACTCGCTCTTTATTCAAACAGTGTGCTGTTTCGCTTATGATTCCACGTCCTAAATTACGTCAACGCCGTTTCTGAGCGCCATCTCGTCATCAACTGCTGCTATCGACTCCTGTATTTTTTAAAAAGTCTTTTTTTACATCATATAACAAAGTACAATTCCAATTTATTTAGGGATAAAGCCACTATAGCTAAACCAGGGACTGCTCAAATTGCTACCAGACGACACCAAGAAAATCCCAACTAGAGGAATCACCGAGAAAGCACATGGACACGAGCATCAGTAAAAAATTAAGCTCAAAAATAAGCTAAGACCAACAGATTTAAAACAACCTGATCTGATCTGTATGTCCGGAGTCCACAATCTGGGCAACATTTCACACTGTTTTCCCACTCTGTATGAGCAATCTTCCCAAGGATAATTTACTTACACCCTACTAAGAAGTTACTTTGTCTTTCCTACTCGATTCCCTGATTTGAGGTTACCTTTCAGGCAAATCAGTCAGTAGAAAAGCAAAATACGAATTTTATCAATATAGTAGTTGTAAGTCAAGATACCATCTACTCACCTGTGAATATAGTTTTCACGATTGGTAGGTAGATCATAGTTTATAACCAATGACACTTGTTGCACATCAATTCCACGAGCCTGAAATACAATGGGGTATGATGTTCAAATTCTAATTTTAAAAAACTAGACAATTATGTAATGTAGGCCACAAAATAGTAATGGACTATACTAAATGGTATAGCCCACTGTGGAGTGTGGTCTTGTCTTTATTCTCCCAAATAGCCCGAAGTTGGTAAAGGTTATTTAAAAACCTTCCCCCAATACAAACTTTTGGTAGATTACAAAGAGCAGTAAGAGATTTACCAACAAGTCAGTAGTGATCAGAACACGGCTTGACCCTGATCGGAATTCCCTCATGATAACATCTCTTTCCTTCTGGTCCATGTCACCATGCTGCAAATTAACAAACCTTAAATTAATATCATGATTTAATTCACATCAAATCAAAATATTTTATCAACATGTATGAGACCAAGCGTCCCTGGCTGCTACAGGAGTAAAGCAGACAGGTATAGTTAAGAAACAACTTTATTTTGAGCAGGGGGAACGACAACACAGCACTTACAGCTATATTGTAGTCTAAATCCTGCTTTAATGAAGAGACTTCAATTATTATTACTAGGTTAGACCATCTCTTACCAGAGCAGAAACTGTGAAGTCCCTGGCATGCATTTTCTCAGTAAGCCAGTCCACCTTGCGCCTTGTATTGAGAAAAATAACAGCCTGTGTAATCGTCAGAGTCTCATACAAGTCACAAAGTGTATCCAACTTCCATTCCTACAGCATTTCAAAGAGAAAGTTTAAGTCATTAAAATCATCGTCTCTAACTTCCATTCGTTAGAATTTCATTGTTAAAGATATATTGCACCAAATCTTAAGACAAAGGACACTGGACATTAAGAAAGAGGTCCACCCCAGTCTTTACAATCTAGTGCAGTTACTCTTCTTCTTGTGTGTACTCTGCTAGCATTATTACAAAAACCAAGATGTGATCCTAGTTTCTATAATTTTAGCACAGTGCTTATACAAGAAGGTAAAACAAAACCTGGCTACATTTTTATGTTTAATAATTAGACAAATTACCTCTCTCTCAACATTAATATAAAACTGTTTGATTCCTTCAAGGGTCAACTCTTCCTTTTTCACCAGAATTCGAATTGGATCTCTCATGAATTTTTTGGTCACTTCCAACACATCCGTTGGCATCGTGGCAGAAAGCAACACAACCTTAAAAACAGTGATTCCGTTGTCACACATCACACAAATAATTAGCACAACTTTCACAATAAGAAAAACAATGTTTGAGACCAAGCGTCTCTGTTTTGGCATGGAATTGTGCTAGACAGAGATAGTTATGCATCAATTACTTTAAGCAGGGGGAACGACAATAGAACACTTCAGTTGTATTGTAACAGTACCTGCATTAAACCTAACCTCCAGCTATGTAAGAGTAAGTGAAATCAAGCTCACCTGAATACTTGTATTTAATTTTTGGAAAATCTCATAGATTTGATCCTTAAACCCTCGGCTCAACATTTCATCTGCTTCATCCAAAACAAACATTTTGATCCATTTTGGAGCTGTTAAAAATAAAACCGTATCATCTCTAGATTCTCAGGCATGCTCTTTATTTATAATATGAAAACCAAACTATACTCAATACTTACAAAGATATCTTCTGTTTAACATATCAAACACTCTCCCTGGTGTACCAACAACAATATGTGGTGCTTCAGCCTGCAGTTTTTGCATCTCATTTCGGACATTGGTTCCACCAATGCAGGCATGACAAGTTGCTCCCATATAGTCTCCAAGTGCCAGAATTACCTTTTGGATCTGAAAGCCAAAAGCCTTAATTATCATCCAATAGAACTACAGGCTTTTGTGACTAAACTTCCAAAGCATAATGGCAAATATCTGGTCTGCAAACAAGCTTTTATGCATGCACAGCACTTAACTACTTCCAAGCTTAAAATGCAGACCCATCTAACTGCCTCAAGATAAACTTCACTGAAAATGTCCTGTGCCTTGTCAAACTTGGAATTCTGCTGCCCCAGCTACCAACTACGTTAAAGAACTAAACATTTCCTACATTTTTCACTGTGTAGGAAGGTGTAAATAGCAAAACAAGCTTCACAACTGCAGTCAGAACAGTTAATGTTCTTTTTCTGCAGGGTACTGCGACTTGTATCTTGACCTTAATAAAGCCTACAGGTTTATTAGCAAGATTTACTTCAAAGCCAATACAGCAGTGAGCTTTGAAAACACAGCATGCAACAGATGCGTAACAAACTACTGAGACAGTTAAATAACATGTCACTGCAGTTTTCATGTTGCACAACTGCATTCAAACTTAAAAATGGGAACGGACCTATCCACCCTGAGCAGAAACCTTCAGTTTGTCAATCTGTTACACAACCCTGCAAACCATACCTGAACACCCAGTTCCTGTTTAACTTTCAACAAAATCTCCCTGCATGCATGGACAGTTAAAAGGAGGGCTCTGTAGGACCAATTTATACTAAGCTTTAAATTCTTCACAGTTGTGAAACCTGAAACCTATGCAACACGCAAGCAGTTTTTTTCAACTACACTATCAATACCTGTTGAGCCAGTTCTCTGGTGGGGGCCAATACTAGTGCTTGGGTCTCCTTGAACTCAATCTCCAACTGTTGCAGGATGGAAATAGCAAATGTGGCTGTCTTGCCAGTACCTGACTGAGCTTGAGCAATCACATCATACCCTAAAAAAAGTAGGATACATATTTACCGATCCCACATCAAACCGTCACTTCTAGTTCACACCATGTATTCCATTTGGAACATGAATTATGCCCAAATAATCAAGTGATCAGCAATGAGTATTCTCTTCATTTCAGGTCAGTCCCGAAAGATGATTGCCATCATTTCACTTTGAGGAATACAAATAGGTGCTAGTCCCCCAGA